TGCATGGGCGTGCGAATTTGGCTTAGTTCGCCACCCGCGCTGCGGCCATCATGCCGAAGAAGGGCAGGAAGAAGTCGGGCGCGAAGCAGACGCAGGCGCAGAGCGAGCAGATCACCGCCACCGAGGGGCAGTTGGTCGCTGCGGACAGGAAGAGCGACCTTCCTGAGGTCAAGCTTGAGGAGCGACTGGCGAAGGACGCCGGTAGGAATGAGGAGTCCAAGGGGGAGTCCAAGGGGGAGACGCTCGTGGAGCACAGTCAGACTCAGTGCCAGAAGGACCCCCTCCTCCCCCCCATCTTGCCCCCTCGGCCCCTCGTCCTCTCCGCTCCTCTTCCTCGTTCTGCTGCTCCGCCTTCTCGTCGCGCTCCTATTCCAATGTGTCATCCTCCTCCTCTTCCTCGTCCTCCTCGCCTCCGTCGCCTCCATCCGCTACTCCTCCCCGCCCCCTAGCTCCTTCCCTCGCCCTCCTCCTGCTGTCCTGCTGTTGGCCCCCCCCCCCTGCAGCTCGCCGCAAGGGGAAGCCGTGTGCCTTCCTGTGCGGCGCGGTGCAGGGGATTAGCATGGACCCAGTCGACCCGGACAATAGGCCTAGCGTCCGCTGGGCCTACGATCCAGGGGATTTCACCGTGTCGTGCGCCGACGGCTTGGGCTGCTGGGCATGCGACACCGCTTGGAGAAACGACATCTCGCACACTCGGGCAGATCGCGACCGCAGCAAATACATCAGCGATTTGGGCAGGGACACCAGCTTGCTCGACGCGCACAAGGAGAAGAAGAACATCGTCATCGACAGGGCCAAGAAGAGGCTCCTCACCAAGCGCAGCACTGGCTCCAGCGGAAAGCGCTCAGGCATTTTGGCCTCGCTCGTGTTGTCAGTTGTCAAACATGTCATGTGTCGTAATTCCCCCTTGCGTTCTTCCTTCCTTTATCCTTTCCTGTATTCTTTTAATAGATTCGCTTATCCCTTCCTTTATTTCTTCGTCCTTTATTCCCTGGGTTTCTCTTTTCTTAACCGACGCACCTTTCTATTATCCATCTTCCTCCCCGGCCGGCTCCTCTCGCCCCGTCGCCTCTGCCCGACTCGCCCCCGTAGGCGGGGTCAAGAAGGTCGCAGTGCAGAGCAGGCGGTGCGCGGATTCCTGCTTGAGGAGGCCCGACGACGATTTTTGGCCCATCAAGCGGTGCAGGGCCAAGTTTGGGGACCCCAGGAAAAACAAGAAGTTGGGGCACGTCATCGTCGTCATAGAGGGGGTGAAAGGAGTAGAGGTGCCTTCAGACAGCGGGGACATTCCGTGGAAGATCGAGAACCGCCAGGGCATGAGACGCGAGCTCGTGAAGGACGAGGACGTCGGGAGCACCGACGGCGACGAGGAGCTCGCGGAGCAGAAGTTCGAGGACTTGACCACGGCGGACGCCGAGGCGCAGCGCGTGGCATGCCAGGGCGCACTGGCGAGCATCTTGGCTGAGTGCGAGCTGACCGCCGAGGAGGCCGCGAAGGAGAAGGAACGCGAGAAGAAGGCCGCCCAGCAGAAGAAGCGCCGTGCCGGGAAGAAGCAGCAGGGCGAGAGGAAGATAGTGAGGCTTTCTGGGGCTGCAGGGAGCTTCGGCCGGCTGGCCGACACTGATGACGACGCCTCTTTGGATAGCGACATTGAGGAGCTTTGGGGTCCAATCGTATCCATTCCCGCCCCACTGTGCCTCCCCTCCTGGAGATGCGTGGAGCGCTCCATGTCTGGGCTCTGGGCCTCTGGGCTCTGCGCAGTGCAGTTGGCACGAGCTACGCGGTGGGCCCATTGGCGCCCTCCGCTCGCGCTCGACCCTGGGGCCCCAGCGACGCGCCCCTGGGTTCCTCCTCCTCCTCCTCCTCCTCCTCCTCCTCCTCCTGGATTCTGGGCGAGGCAGCGGAATTTCGTTCAGGCGTTTTGCCATTGCGCCATCGGTGGCGCGTGCATGTATCCTTGGTTGGGTAGGTTGTTTAGCCCGCTCATGTTCCAGGAGCCTTCCCGGGCCCCCCCCCATTATCGCCCCTCGGTCGCCCGCTTGCAGTCCCTTTCGATTCGCCCCAGGCGCCAGGCAAGAGGATCAAAACTGCGGCGAGGTCCAGAGGCGGCGGCGGAGGCGGCGGAGGCCAGCCCAGGGGAGGCGGTCGCGGCCAGAGGCGCGGCTGTCAGCTCCAGGAAGGAGCCGAGGAAGGCACCGGAGGCGGCGACGGCGACGACCCGCCGGAGGGCGACGACGAGAGCGCCGAGGAGGGTCAGGAAGGTGAGGGCGGCCAGCGTCGCGGTCGCGGCCGCCCGAAGAAGGACGTGCTCGTGCTGGAGAAGGACATGTGGCGAGAGTTCATGGGCTGCGATGCGACGTCCCGCATGTTCAACAAGCACAGCGACGTGGCTCGCCGTCTCGTCCAGCGTTGGATCGCCATTTGCCAGTCCAAGGGCAAGGCGGCAAAGGCTGAGGCCGATCAGACTAAGTACTCGTTGGCGACCAAGCGCCTCATGATCATTGAGCAGGGCATCAAGTTGCACCGCAAGCGCATCGAGAGCGGTTCTTCCGATAAGTCGTACGCCGAGTGGGACTCGGGCTTCCGCAGCCTTCAGGAGTTCGCCAGGGCCGACCCAGCGCAGCCTTTCACGTGCGAGCTGTTGTGGGACATGCGTCTGACTCTCAAGGCATCACTGGGCAGGGCCACTTCGAACCGTCCTCGCCCGTTCGCCTTCGCACCTCCCCATCTCCTCTCCCGCTGCCTCCCCCCCCCTGCCCCCCGCTCCCCCCCCCCCCTCTCGCGGCCTCGTCTTCTCGTCTTTCTCGTTGCAGCGCTCGCCCGACCCAGGCGCCCATGTGGTCCTCGACGCCCCCCGCTGTCTGGGCCACTGAGTTGTCGGCGAGGTCGCTGCAGGAGTCTTTCGGGTCACTCTGCGACGTTAAGGACAAGCAGTCCACTTACATCAAGCAGTTGATCGCCGCCGCGCTCCGCTCCAGAGCCCCGCTCGAGGAGGTTAAGCACGTCATTTCCAAGGTGATCGAGTGCCTCGACGCGTTGCCGACGGGGCCCCCCGCCCCCCAGTTGGACCACGACCTCTCGCAGGAATTGCGCTCCATGTCATTGGCGTTCACATTGCCGGCGAAGTCCTTCGATCAGAAGGTCCGCGCGAGCCTCCAGCAGGCGAAGATGGACATGGCGGACACTTCGAGGCTCTTGAACTTGCTCATGCAGTACCCGGCGCAGGGGAAGCCCCTCGTCGACGCGTTCGACACCCGGCTCCAGGAGAGAGCGAAGAGGGAGGAGGCAGGGGTGGAGGCAGCAGGGGGAGGAGAGGCAGGAAGGACGATGGAGGGGAGGGGCCAGGTGGGAGGAGGAGCCCCATGGACGGTTGATGTTCTTCCTCCATCTTCTTCCACCCCCT